CCAGAACTGTGCACACTAGTATGGCACCAGGGCTCTGCAGCATGGCACAATGACCTCCCTGGATTTAGAGAGGCCCTCTCTGGGCATACGTACCTGAGAAGACCATCGGGCTCTGCTTTGCAGTGGTGTTCTCCTGCCACCTAGTTCTTAGTTTGCTGATGATGGACCCCAAGACTCTCACTCCAGAGAAGTATGCCCCAGTGTAAACCTGGGCTGGGTTTTTGCTCTGGGGCAGGGGAGTACAGAATGGCCAAACATTTAAAGGGACAGGACATCACATTCCTTCACCCTATTTTAAAAGACTTTCCATGATATACATATAAATACAGTAAAAGCCTTTTTATCCAGCATGTTGGAGGTGGCGGGTGCCGGTAAGTGAAAAATTCCAGTTCACAAAGAGGAAGGGAGATTGCTTGCAGGAGGGGGCTTGGGGCAGGGATGCAGGATGGGTTTTGGGGTGCCAGATCCGGGGGGCACTCGCCTCAGGAGGCTCCCCACAAGTGTTGACCTGTCCCTGCTGCTCCTAGGCGGAGGTGTGGCTAGGTGGCTCTGCGCGCTGCCCCTGCCCCGGCCCGATCCAGCACCCCATGCCCCAACTCCCTGACCTGAGCCCGCTCCTGCACTCCGAACCCCTCATGGCCATCCTCTGCCTAGGAGCAGCAGGACATGCCGGTCCTGCACCAACCGGACTATAAACCCCACTTTCTATGAAGATTAGAAATGCCAGTTTATAGAGTTTTCTGGTTGGCACAGGGGCGGATAAAACAGCTTTTACTGTGTATTCAGATTGCCGTTTACATGACCACCATAAAACACTATGTAACCTAACTAAAAGTTGTGGGTGGACTACCGCAGACTTTAAAATTGCAAGGGATTATTCTGCCCTGGAAAAGCAACTCACTAACTAAAGAATTTATAAATCCAGGTGCACCCCTAGTTATCTCACTCTCTGGATGATGGTGGTACAGCCGGGCCATGAACAACAGCACCAATCCGTGGTAAGGAATCGGCTAGATCTGGTATCAACGTTTCCTCCCTCAAATCATTGAAATTAGGAGTTGTAATGGGAGGAGGAACAGAAATTCCGACTGGAATATCCATTGGGCTTGTGACAAAGTCTGGTGGTAGGTAGATGCAGGAATCAGTGAGATGGCAGCTCTAGTATCAAACTCCATTCTTGTGGAGGCTGCTTCAGTCAAAGGTGGGATCCGGATGCCATCTGTGAATCCGGTTCTGATAACACATGCAGCGCCAGATCTGGCTCAGTGTCTTTTTTCCATGTTATGAATTCTCGACTTCCATCCTTTTTTTAGGGTCAATCTTCATAGGTGTCTTCGTGGCTGGACGTTGGACTGTGTGACAGGGCAGGGCAATGTGTCCTTTCTTCTGGAACTTTCTGCAAAAAAGCCCGGTGTGCCCAGCAATCCTTACCAACAGTCACAGGGAAATTCCTTACGTTTCCATGGTCCTCACCAATTCAGGAGGTGAACGTCTCGGCTCACACTACATTCCAGAGACTCCTTCTCCACCGTTTCCATGGCAGTTGCTATGTCGGCAGCCTTCTTGAATGCAAGAGCTGATCCAGTCCATAGCTATTCCCGGTCAGTGCATAATCCAGGGACAAATTGGTCGCGTGGCACATCCCTTGATGTTTGTCTGAACGGACAATGCTCCAGCAACTTCCTTAGCGCAGCAAGGAACGGTGCTACCGAGTCTCCGCTCCCTTGCTGCCGTGATGGAACCGGTACCGTTCTGCTGCCGTCGATGGTGCGGGAGAAAAATGTGTGGGATTGCGGCGTACCTGGCAGTTCTGGGCACAGTTAGAGGCAACAGACCACACAGCAGCCGTCTGTGGGCCTTCTCGCCCAGCAAGGTTGAAATCTGTCTGGAATGGAATCGCAAGCGACAAATGGTTCAAAACAGTCGAGGGACGTCGCCCATGACCCAATTTCCATCACTCTCACCACCATGGCCCACAGAAGCTTTCATTTCTCTGCTCTCCTTTTCGATATCACCCCCCCACCCTTACACCTCTCTCCATCACTGGCGTGTCCGAGCGTGGTGTTTGACGGCCGTGCCGTGTGGTGCACTCGTGTTTATTGGAACTCCAGCCGTAGTGAAGTGGAATCGAACTCCTTGACAGCTTCCCTGGATTCGAATGGGGCTTTCGTTCCACGAGCCATGCGTTCACCCTGCTAGATCCCCTGCCCAGGCACGTTACCCTCTACTTGGTTGATATTGTGGCCCAGATCCTCGAAAGCTATCAAAGTGCCTAACTCCACTTGACTGCAAATATCGAGGCGGATCTGGGCCTTCATGCTTAGGCCAAGGAGACGATCACCCGGCTGTGAGCAGACTGGGGGATAGTAAGTCTTCTGCCTCCCCACTGGAAATGGGTAAGAGACACTCCCCCCGTGTCTTAAGAACCAGCCTGAGTCCAGCCGCCTGCCATCCCAGCCAACTGTCATATAATCCCACTCCCAAAGCTGTCTTGCTATGGCTGCTCTCTGCTGGCAGGGAGGGTACCGCCTGTCAGGGTGTGTCTGCACTGCCCACTAACCCCAGCTCTGTGGGACCCGGGCTCGTGCTTCCACGCCCACGCTTGTGCGTCCGCACTGCACTGTAAACCTGAGTTGGACCCAGATGTTGCAACCGTGCTAACCTGTCCATGGTGCACGTCTGACTTGGGTCCGTGGCTTGATCTGCGTCCGTACTGCAAGATGGCAGAGCTTAGACCTGCATCACAGTGGGACTTGGACTCTGACCTCCCTCCAGCCCCCCATTCCCCAAGCCGGGTCCTAGGACCCCACTCCTGAGCGCTTGCCAAGCTGCGTCGGACCGATGTGTGTGTGGATGGAAGAGGGGCTTGGGCTCAAACCTGACTGACTGACGGACAGTCTCATGCACCGCACAGCTACCTGTCCCTCACAGCAACTGCAAGCAATGAAGCTCTGGCCCCACCGCTGGGGCGAGAGGTGGGGGGAGAGGCACTTTACCCATGCAGGCCTTCACCGGGTAGAGGGAAGCTGTGTAGGATAAGGACCAGAGCACTTCCCCCAGGTGAAGGCAGGCAGCCCATCCGCTGGCTCCCTTGGTCTTTAGTGACACACGGTCAGTAGGGCTTTGCGTTAGCAGGGAGCGGCTCCAGTGTCAGGGGCGGGTACCAGGAAGGGCAGGTGATCTTCAAAGACCCCCGTGCGTCTGTCCTCACGTTTCGTGGGTGGATGCAGACTATGGCCCCGGTTTTGAATTCCAGTCACCACCGGTTGCCAACCGTCCTCTCCTGCATCACACTGGGAGCTGCCACGAGAGTAACTTTGCTGTCCCTTTAGTGACGTGGACGGGCTTGAAGCTGCCTACAGCTCCATGCTGAACCGCTACGGCTGTTTGGTGGGGGGGGTTGGGGTCTGGGCTTTGCACCACCTTGAATGCACAGTAGGAGGGGTCTGGGTTGTAGCCCATGGGCCTCGCAGGCCAGGCCCCAGGGGTCCCAGAAAGAAAGAGATTCCACTGACAGCTGGCTTTGAGTGATGTCACAGGCAGCCAGGTACCGGCAACAGCCCCTGTGCCAGTGAAAACACCTCACGGCCACCCCCCCACTCACTCACTGCACGGGTACGTATGTGTACACACACACACACACACACATACACACTCCAGGAGAGCCAGAAGGCCACGGCACAAAATGCACCCGAGACACTGCACAGATCACGAGAAAGGAAAGAAATGCCAAGGCAGTTTATTTACAACGGTTGTATACAAAAAGACAGCTGGTGCCACAACTGGAACAGACTCCCTGGCCTCTTCCCCACCCCCTCCCACCAGCTCCCACAGCCAGATCCGGTGCCGAGCTGTTCTCTGAAGAGATGGGCCCTGATTAATTGCTCTCATCATAAAAGCTCCAGAGAGGCCATTTTATCAAGGCCCCTCAGTTAATCAATGCCCTAAAAGCCTTATCCGGCTGGAGTGGCCAGCGAGACCTCACTTGTTGGAAATCGATGTGGCGGGTAGGGCTCGGTCTAGCTGGAAGGCTTTGTCTGCAGGCCAGCTGCTCCGGCTCTCTGCCTTCTGGCTCAGAGCTGGCTGGACCGCACCTCAGCCTTCCTGCTTTTTCCAGGAGTGAGAGGGCAGGTCAAGCCCACCCATGGGGCTGTGAACACCAGCATTGGCTGGTCTTTCAGTGCAACCTGACCCAGGGATCTGGCGGTCACCCCTTTCCACTATCTTCCTTCCTAATGTGCCCTTGGAACTCTGTAACAAGGAGGCATCCGTCATCTCCTCTGGGAGCCCACTCCACCGCCCAGCTTGGACGAAACCATTCTGAATAGCTATCTTCAGTTTTTCCTCACTTCCCTTCAGGACATCACTCCTTGTCCTGCTGGCCTTAGCGATAATTCTCCTCTCCATGGGCACAGCTAGCTTGAAGCTAGTTATAACCTGTGATCGGATACCCACCCCCGTCTTCCCTGGGTCTATCATCCGGGCTCCCTCAGTCCCTCCTCTTCTCTGCTCCTGGCATCAGCATCACTTCCGCTGCCCTGCACTGGATTCTCTCTAGCTCACCACAGAGCCGAACGTCTCTTCTCCCAGAAATCCCAGCCACAGGTGCCTTCTGCCCTCCCACTGCTTTCCTCACTCCAACCTGCAGCAAAATTTTCTGCTGCTCCATACCTAGAAAAAGGGATCTCTCATTAGAAGAGACATCCTGGGCTCTATCTGACAAATCCTCACTCTCAGGGAGATCACAGGGATTTTGAACTTCACTTCACTGCAGCCAAACAAGTGTCTCCTACAACCAGATAACGCCATCCTAGGAAGCTATTGTTTCTCATTGGGGGGGAGAGGGTGGGAAACCTGTTAATTAATGTCTGACAATACTGAATTGCTGGCAAAGCATTATTTCCAAAAGACTGCAAGAGCTTCTGGGAAGAACAAAGCCAAACAGCGCCAGGCCCCCAACAGGCCTGCCATTAGAGACAGAAAGAAGAATAAGACCGAGACACGGAGAGGAGATGTTTCATTTGTATTAATGACCAAAGTTCATGGCAAACACAGAACAGGCTACACGCACCCCCGAGAGACGACTTTCCTGCCCACAGTTACAGAGAGATGCAGACAGGGCAGCCCCCTCCACTCAGCCCTGATCCCCAAATTAAAGTCACCCATGCTGTGCATCCCTCTCCCACCCCGTCATGTCACCTCCCCTAACAGCCAGCGTCACCGACCCTTTGTTCGTTTGGACTCTTTCTTGGACACTAATGATGAGGAAGTAAAAATGAAACCGTGGAGAGGATTGTAGACTTCCCAAACGGGGTGTGTCTATTCCCCCCCAGCCCTCCCCATCCTCCCTCCAACAAACACCTCCCTGCCCCATCTCTCTCCTCCCCATCTCCCCTCCCACCCCCAAAACAAATAGGATGGCTTCACTGGTCAATTCTTTACATTCACAAACAAAGCAAGCAGAGGAACTCCCCGTCATCGGTCGCAAAGCTTCACCGGCGCTGTCAGTCCAAACCGCCACCGTCCTGGCCTCTCTACCTGGAGGCTTCTTCCTTGAGCTCCTTGTTTTTCCGCACCTCTTCCGCATGTTTGTCCTGGGGGGAGGTGGAAGGGGGACCCTGTTAGCGTGCTGGGCTTCAGGACTCAAGAATGGACAGCGACAAGGGGACTGCGGAGGGGTCTGACTGAGAGGCAAGGACAGAAAGAGTGTGGTGGCCCAGGTTCCTCCCTGGCGTAACACCACCAAAGCCACCGGTGTCATACCAGGGATGTGATTATTAAGGGCTGCAGTGGTGCCCAGACACAGATAGTCCTTGGCCCCGATCTAGAAAGGCAGAGCCAATCAGACAAGACCACACTGAGTGTCCCAGAGACTGCCGTGAATATAGGGCATGTCCACACTGCAATTAAAAACCCCTGGCTGGCCCATGCCAGCTGATTCAGGTGCACGGAGCTCAGATTCCAGGGCTGTTTAATTGCAGTGTAGACGTCCAGGCTGGTACTGAAGGCCGGGCTCTAGGAGCCTGCAAGGTGGGAGGGTTCCAGAGCTCAGACTGCAGCCCGAGACAAAACATCTACACAGCAATTAAACAGTCCTGCGAGCCCGCATCAGCTGGCATGGGCCAGCCATGGGTTTCTCATCGCATTGTAGGCATGTTCTTAGATTGGTCTTCTCTGTCTCACTCTCTTGGTCTCTGATACAAGGTGAAGGCTGCAGAAGGTGTTTGGAGGAGGCTAGTGAGGAGGGGAGTTGGTGGAGGAGCAGAACCTGTTTCACTGGAGTTGGGATGGATTTATTTATATATCTTCCAGAAGATATTAGAGGCCTACTAATGTTCAACGGCTGTGGCCCAGGGGGGAGTGTGTATGCCAAGGCCTCCTCGCTGGGTTTTATCAAAGTGCTGTCCTCTGTGGATGGCGCCCGGAGGGGGCGCTGTAACCCAGGAGGCGGGGAACTGCATATAGGGCAGCCCAAGGTACTGGGTTTAGGAGACAGGAGATGAAACTGAGGAAATGAACGTCTAGAATGAGCCATTGCCCAGGCTGTGGAATCTTCCTAGGGAAGGGCTGGGCGCCGCTTTGCTCGAGTCCTTACAAACTGGCCTGGACAAAGCAGCGGACAAGATTCTAAGGAAGGACCCTGCTTTGCTCCAGCTGCTCTGTGCCTCGGTTTCCCCATCTGGACAATGGGGCTCATGGCACTGCCCTGCTGCCCAAAGGGAAAGACAGTAAAGACTGTGATGTGCTCAGATATGGGGCCATCGAAGTACCTTAAACTGAGACATAGACCAGCCTGGATTGGCGGCTGGGGAATGGCCAAGAGGGAGATTCAGTGGGCGTGCCTCGGTGTGAGACGGAAAAGGGGGCCAGCAGCTGCCCTTGTGAGCTAGCCGACAAGCCCAGCTGTTTGTCCGTCTGCCTGGCCTGGTCTCTGACTCCTGTCCAGAACCGCCTGGCTATCCCTGAGGGTCACCAGCCTGTTCTGAGCCCAAAGCCTTTCAGAGAGGCGCTGGAGAGAGGGATGGGAACTGCCATTTGCAGAGCCCCATCCCAGCGGTGGGTTTCTGGGACTGGAGTCTCCCTCCCAGGCAGGCAAAGGAAAGGAAAGGAGAGGAGAGAGATGGTGCGGTTACCAAGGCCCACTTCCTTTCCATGGCGACAGGGGCAATTACTTAACACCAGCCCAAGTCAGATTAACAGGCAGGCGGTGGAGGGAAATGATCATCACTGAACAAAGGCAGCTGCCTTTGCCAGCCCTCTACAGCGCAGATCCCGAAATCTGTGCTACTGTAGTGACGGGAGTCAGGTTCCCAGGCAGCTCCCCCTCATTAGGCAGTGGCCCAATGAGTCACGTGGTGCAACTCCCTCCCCCCACAAAAACACACCCCATAACCAGCAGCTGTAGCTGGCCCCCTTGCAATTAAGAATAAAGCTGCCAAGATTAAAGAGAGCTCGGCGGGAACCAGCCCCCAGGGGAGCGGGGGACGGCCTGGCGAGGGAGGGGGATCTCAGGAGAGCAGGATTTAGTTCCCAGTTCTGCCACAGACTTGGCCTTGAGCAAATCACCTGGGCCAGCTTAGGAAAGGGGTGTAGGTGTTGCCTACGGAGCAGAACAAGGCCCAGCCCCTGGGTGACCCGTTGCCTAGCAGAACTTTCGGCCCTGATTTCGGTGTCTCCCTGCAGGGCCCAGGGGGATCATGAAGCCCCTAAAAAAGGGATTTTCCGAAGCCGGCCAGCCAGGAGTGAAATGCTGAGGAGGGGGCGGGAAGGGGTAGGGGCTATGTGGCTGAGCTGGTGTGCCTGGCGGACGGGCCAGAGGTAGCCGCCTCCAGGTGGGATCCTCGTCCGTGAACTCTCTCCCGGAGTCAGACACCTGAGCCAGGTCGGCAGCGTAGATAGGGGCCCTAGCAGCCGAAAATCCTCCGCCTGTCTTCCACTCCCACGCTCGGCCGGCATTTCCCTGAGCGGCTGTCCTCCATGCGGGCGTGGTGCTTCCCCCCCTTATCTCTGGGGGGGGGGGGGTGCTGTTAGGCGGGACCTGAGCTGTAGCGCTGACAAGGTCAGTGGCACCAGTTTGGTGGACTTGAGCGCCTATCTGCCTGTTTCGGTACCTACATCCCTTTAAAAATCTGGCCTGTCATCGCTTTGGGCCTCAGTGTCCCCTTCTGTCCAATAACCCTGCCTCTGTCTTTACAGTCTGACTAGACAGGGCCTGGGGCCTGCCTCTTATTAAGTGTTTGTGCAGCACAAATGGGGCCTTGATCTTGGCCCCTCTGGGTGCTACTGAGATATAACAATACAGGACACCCCAGGGCACCTGTTGGGTGCACCGATGGCATCTTGCCATGCCCTTTCCTCGCAGCCCCGGGGCCGGCGCCCGGCACTCACCTTCTCCTGCAGGCGTTCCAGCATGGCGGCTAAGTGGGCCTCCCGGTTCTCCTTGTTGGACTCCATCCTCTGCGCCAGCTTCTCCTTGGCCGCCTTGATGAAGTTGTTGTTCTCCTCGATGGCTTTCTGGATGACCTCCCGCCCGTGCTCCCGCTTCTCCGCCAGGTGCTTCAGGAGCTCCGCTTCCTGGTACTGCACCCACAAAGCAAACAGGACAAGCCGGCTGAGCGCCGGGCGAGAGCCACGCAGAGTCCCGGGCCCGCTGGGGACAGCGAGGTGCCTGAGTCACGAGTGGAACCAGCTGTTCAGCCTGCGATACATAACCCCCGCTCCACCCCAGCCCCAGCTGCTGCCTAGGAGATTGAGGCCCAGAGCCTCAAAGGTACGTAGGCGCCTAACTCCCTTTGTCTATGTCCTTTGGGAGTTAGGCGCCTAAATACCTTCAAGGCTCTTGGCCTTAGTCCTTTAGCTCAAGCTGCGGAGACTCAGGCTCTTAGCGCCGACGGTTCAAAGGCCAGTGATGGCCAAGGAGCCGGTGATTCCACAAGCCCATGCTACGTGCGAATGTGTTTTCCTGCCTCCAGCTTTTCACTCCAGCCCGGTTCTCGGGTTGGCCCATTCCAAGCGACGGGGGGAGCTTGCAGTTTTGGCCAGAAAGAATCAGTGCAAATTCTTCCCCCGGCCACGCCCCCTCCCCATCCCAGTGCACCCATGGGGCCCCGCTGGACAGTGGAGTCGCCCAGGGGTGCTGAGGGCAGAGCTTGGCATGGAGTTAAGGCATGCGAAGGGCGATTCACAGGCTGGTGCGGAGTCAATCCGCTGCCCAGCAGAGCTCCTGGTGGCTGGGTCAGCAGTGGGTAGGGTTGCCAGCTTGGTAATATTTAAAAACCGGACACTCCAGCAGGAGTGCCGGAACCACCCCTGCCCCGCCCCTTCCACCCGAGGCCCCACCCCTGCCCCGCCCCTTCCCCCAAGGCCCCATCCCTGCCCTGCCTATTCCCCCCCAAAGCCCTGCCCCGCCACTTCTCCTGAGGCCCCGCCCCCATCCACTCCTCTTCCCCCCCTCCCTGTTGCTCGCTGCTTTTTCCCTCCCCCAGGGATTCTTCTGCAGAGCCGGGGCTGGGAGGTGCAGCCACCCGACGCAAATAGGAGGTGGCCCTGACTGAGTAGGGGCTGGCGTGGGTGATGAGCCGGCGCCTCCCCCACCCGCAGTAACTGGACTTTGAGTGTTCAGTCAGTAGAGCTGACCGGACACTGTCAGGTCCCCTTTTCGCCCGGACTTTCCAATCGAAAACTGGGCACCTGGCCACTGTAATGGTGGGGGATGCTGAAGGCTGATCAATAATTCACATGCCGGCAAACCACACGAGGTAGCCAAGTGGCAAACGCCCACTCGGGGATGCCTTTCCGGGCTGGACGAGTGCCCTCAGCAGAGCGGCCCTGGAGATGGCGGAAGGCACTTGCCCATGGCTTTGCGCGGAGCCTGCCCTTTCCAGCCTACGGGCTGGGCCGTCCGGAGGAGGACGCAGGGCCGGGCGTCGTGAGTTCTTCACCCCGTGAGCCCACTGCATTCAACTGCTTCTCCGTGGACCTCTCAGATACTTCCCAGAATCCTCTGCACCTTTTCCCACGCCGTGACGCACCAGCGCCCCAATGTGCCACGTTTCCCCGTGGCCTGTCTCCAGCCACACACAGCGTGAGCCCCGGGCGCCCTTCTGCCTACCTTCCGCCGCTCCTCAGCTGCCTCCAGCTTCTTCTGGATCTCCTCCAGCGAGGGGTCGCGCCGCCGGGGCAGGGAGGCGTTGAACTCGGGGATCCCGTCGAAGGACGGCGGCTTTAGGATCACCTCGAAGGACTGGCCTGAGGTGCGCTTGTTCAGCTCGATGACTTCCATGTCCGAAATGACGCACCAGGTGAGGTCGACGGTGTCTGCTGGGAGAGCGAGCGAGGGAGGAGTTACCGCTTGCACACTCACACTGCCCCATGCAGCCACGCACATCCACTCACACAGAACCCCCCCACATATTTGTATATTCACACTTCCCCCTGCAGCCACTCACACCCACTCACACACTCACCCTCCACAGCTACTCACACCTGCTCACACACTCACTGCCCCCTGCAGCCACTCACACCTGCTCGCACACTCACCCTCCACAGCTACTTGCACACTCACTGCCCCTGCAGCCACTCACACCTGCTCACACTCACCCGCTCACATGCACATCCACTTGCACACTCACCCCAATTACTCACACCTGCTTGCACCACTCACACTCTGCCCCCACCGCCATGCAGTCACACTGGCTCACACACTCACACCCACTTGCACACCCACGCAACCCCTCTGCAGCCACACGCACACCATCCCCCACAGCCACTCACACCTTCTTGCATACTCACACCTGCTTGCACACTCACGGTCTGCCACCCCAGCCACTCACTCACACTCAGTTCCCCACTGGCTGCTCACATTCACGCTTAATCCTCTGCCATCCGCTCACACCAGCGCACACATACTCAGTCCCCCAGCAGCCATTCACACCCTCAATTCCCCAGTATTAACACACACACACGCTCACACACATGCTCACGCACCCTGCATTCACTCACCCTCTATGCCCATGTTCACACCCCTCCTGGTTCACTCATCTCCATTCTCCCACGCTCCCCCCAGCATTCACACACATTCCCCCTTGCACACCGGCCAACGGTCACTCATCCATTTCCTCACCCCTTATCTTCTCATTCTCGCTCACACGCCCGCTCGTCTCAGGCTCCGTCACCTGCTCTGAGCCGACCCCCGTGCCAATCCATTGTTCAAAGCACAAAACCCAGCAGGTTTTACGGCTTGTCCCTGGCAAGGAGGCTGCGGGCTGGACTGGCTGACAATGGGCAGTGTGAACTCAGAGCGGGCCTGGCTGGGAGTACTAGGAGAGTGCTTAGCCTGCCAGGATACAGGCAATGCCCCTGCTGAGACATGGCCCTTCATGGGCAAGGTTCAGCTTAGAGCAGATAGAAGTGAATCATGGATTATTATTATTATTATTTTTTGGTCTGGAGGCTGAACGGAAAAATCTGGGGGGGAAAATTGGTTCCGTTCAAACTGAAGCGAATTATTTTGGTTTTTCTTGCTGAAATGAAGCACCGGGAAAAAAAAGAATTGAGTCACACGAAATGTTAAGTTTGACCCCAAAATGAAAGGATTTTTCGTTTTGTTTTAGTTGTTTTTTGGGGGGAGGTGTTTTTCATCTCTCTCTCTTGCTCTCTCTCTCGCTCTCTCTTGCTCTCTCTCGCTCTCTCTTGCTCTCTCTCTAATTAGCTAAATAACAAACCATTCCAACCTTTCAGAAAAGCCTTTTTTTCCCCACTTTTTTTCTGGCAGAAACTATTTGCTGAATCCAACCCGAATTCACTACAAATTTCGTTGACCTGAAAAATGTAATTTGGGTGAATTTGCTGTGAGTCACACACGGGCTAAGGGGGTGATGTCCCATTCCAGGGACTGATCCCCCTGGAGGATAACAGCCCACTACTGCTATTTGCCACACACACAAAAAATGCGCCCGGCTCTGGGAGTTGTGGTGGGTCACAACCTCAACATGTGTCAGCAACGCGATGCTGTTGCCAAAAAAACAAATGCAATTTTAAGTTGCATTAACAGAGACATAACATGCGAGTCACGGGCAGTGATAGTACCGCTCTACTCGGCGCTGGGTAGGCCTTAGCTGAAGTACTGTGTCCAATCTTGGTCACCAATGTAGAGAAAGGATGGAGAGAAACTGGAAAGGATCCAGAGGTGAGCAACACAGATGATCAAAGGGACAGAATGCAAGGCATGTGAGCAAAGACTGAAGGAACTGGGTATGTTTAGTTTGGAAAAGAGGAGATTAAGGGGGAATATGACAGCGGTCTTCAAATACTTGAAAGGCTGCCATAGAAAGGATGGAGAAAAGCTGTTCTCTCTCTCCACAGAGGCCAGGGCGAGAGGCAGTGGGTTCAAACTCCAGCAGAGCAGATTTAGATTCAATCTCAGGAAAAACGTCCTCACTCTAAGAGCAGAAGGACAATGGAACAGACACCTGGGGAGGTTGTGGAAGCTCCTTCACTGGAGATTTTCAGAAGGAGGCTGGATAGCCATCTGTCTGGGATGGTTTAGACACAACAAACCCTGCGTCTTGGCAGGGGATTACACGCGATGACCCTTGCGGTCCCTTCTAGCCCTGTGGTTCTATGACTCTGCTTTGGAAATAGAAGATGAATCCATACAGGCTACAATGCAGCCAAGAGCCCAGTTTTCAGTATGAGCCAATCCTCGTGGCAATCCGGAAAGCCAGGCTCTCTGCCGCTTGGGACCAGCGCCTTCCACAGTGACCTAACACTGCGCGCCAACACAAGAACAGGAGGTGTAGGGGGCATGGCTGGTGGCGGGGGGAGCCAGCCACTCCGAGAGCGGTGATGCCCAATTCCCGCGGATCCTTGCTGTCGAGCATGACTGGGTCTGCCGACGTGAGTCACCTGGAATGATCCATCTAGTTGTGGCTTCCCTGAAATCAATCTGTGGAAACGCCCACCGTCTGCGCCTTGCATTTCTGACTCCCCTGCCAGTGGGAGCCGGAGCCAACGTGATTATTATCCTCTAGCGTCAGCCGAGCGGCCGCAGGGAGCACAGTGCTGTAGAAAGTACCTAGGAAATCATGCGCCCTGTCTCTAGAGCCTTACAATACAAATAAGATGAAGGGAGACTCGAGGAAGTTAGCTGCTCTCAGACAGGAAGAGACCAATGGGCTACCTGTTCCGGTAGCTTGTCTTTGACAATGGCCAATGCTTCATGCTTCCGACGCGGCGGAATTCCTTTGTACCTGAGGGAAGGGAAGGTGAATTTCTTCCTGATCCCATGTGGTGCTGTCTGTACCAGGAAGCATGAAGGTGGATGGGCCTGATCATTGTCTGTTCTTCGTCACGTAAATGCCCAGTGGGTTTTTTTTAAACTGTGCTAAGCTAATAGCAATTAGTGAGAGTGGGTTCTGCAGGCTAATTCTAGGCCAGGAAAGAAGGCGTTTGAGGAAGTAACAGCAGATGCGACCAATATCCCTGATGTTAGTAATACACTGGCTAAAGGGGTGATGTCCCATTCCAGGCGCTGGCCTGCCTAGAGGATAACAGCCTCCTACTGCTACCAGCTCATGGAGGCTCTCCCTTAGCTGAAGCGGCTTTTGGGGCAGAAGGTGTGGGATTCAATCACCGCCCTGCTCTGGGTTGTGACGAGCCAGTTTGCTTTCCAGATGAGCTGGGTCTAGCTGATCTCCTGCCTCTGCCCTCCTTATTAAGGGATTTCCCAGCTGTTCCCGCGAGACGCTAGTGAACTCCTCTGGCGCCGAATGTTGTGGTGTAATTCTCCCTCCTGCCAGCAGGTGGCCCTCACCAGCTGCACAGCCCCAGCCAGGTGTGGAACCTTCTGGGTCAGCAGGTGTGAACCTCGCCCTCAGGGGCCCTTCCTGACCCAGCCTGATGTTTGCTGTGGGGGACCCCAGGAGACCGGCTGTTTCCCCCACAGCAGGCCCTTGGTAATACCAGAAGGAATTAATGTGCACTGATCCCCCAACACCTCCCCGTCTCCTAACAGGAGCAAGCGTTGCGGGTGAGTGACCTACCTTCGTATTTATACGCTGGTTTGTTCAAGGGGTCAGCCAGGAAGCAAGAGCAGAACAAGGACACAAGGGGGAGCTCCTTCATCTTCTCTTTGTACGCTGCGAAAACACCATTGGGAGAGTCAGTCTCCGCAGCCCCGGCTGACGGCCAGAGAATCCTACCTGCTCTGAGTCGCCCCGCACACGCCTCCCTGACCGAAATGCAGCCACCTCTGGGATGGAGCAGCTGCGGCTCGCTGATGCGGAGCAGCGCTGGGGGGCGGTGAGGAAGTTTGCCAGGAAGGACCCCAGAGCCAAACGCTCCTTGTCTGTCTCAAGGGGATGAACAAGTATATCTGAGAGCAGGGATTCCAAACCCGCGGCTCCAAGCCCTCCCCTCCAGCAGTAAAATCGGGGGGATGGTGGCTGAGACAGGTCACGTGCTGCTGAGTTTAGTAAACTTCTTTTATACCAACCGCTCCTCACTTTTCACACCTACTTGTCACGGCAATCGCACCTGTTAGCCACTGGACCTAAAGGCAGGCAAGCGTTGCTCTCCCAGGGGAAACTGAGGCACAGCACGGACCAGGAACAGAGCCCCAGGAAGCCAGCGCCCTACCTGCTAGGCTGCCCTGCCCCCTGTTGGAGTTGTAGCAGCAAGGCTGGGTCTGCTGAGCTCTGCTGGGGTGAAGCAAAACCCCAGGGCTGCACCCCAGCATCAGGGGAAGCTGTGACCTGATCCCAGAGTGGTGGCAGCGGTGGGGAAAGGAGGAGGTGGCAGAGCAAAGCGGCATGCCTGGCATGTTCGACTGCATTGTGACACCCAGCCCTCCCCGCTGCAGCCCCTGGGAGCGTGCTGGGAGGCGTGGGCATTGCCCAGGGGGGCACCCGTCCAGGCGGGCATGCTCAGGGCGGGAGGCTGGGCCCATCTCTATCTGGGCCACCTCCTGCATCTTCTGAGTGGCAGGGGCCAATTTAACCAGGTGACTCTCCCAGGGAACTCAAAAGGAACAGGGCCTGGAGCTATTCTGGGGCTAGGGACGCCTCATTCTCCCCCTGCCCTGCACGTGGCTGATGGAGATGGAGGCCACCGCCCGTCCCGCAGGAAAGGGGTCAGGGCTAGACACCAGCTGTGCTCTCCCCTCCGTGCTAGCAGGTGGAGCGAGGTGCCACGGGCTGGGGGCATCTCACGGCGCGTCCGTACCGGCCAGAGTCATGGCACTCGGGTTCCTTCAGCAGGCTGGGAATCAAGTGTGGCCAGAAGCTTTGTCGGGGCCTGGAGGAGCAAAGAGACGAGATGGTTAGTGCTCAGCAGGGCTCCCGTTAGCCCTTCGGGGGAGGTGCTCCAGGCAAGCAGGGTGCGCGCGCACACACACACACACACACACACACACACACACACACACACACACACTA